TAGATATGACACCAAAGGCAGAAGTAACAAAAGAAAAAAATAAATTGGACTACATCAAAATTAAAAACGTTGGTGCTGCAAATGATACTGACAAGAAAGTGTGAGGGAGGGGGACCCACAGAATGGGAGAAAATATTTGCGAATCATATTTCTCTAGAATATGAGGGTATTTCAAAAAGTTCATGGAAAAACAGAATTGAAAATAATCTTTCCATGAAATTTCTGAAGACCCCTAATAAATAATAAACTCTTACAACTTGGCAATAAAAGACAAATAACCCAACTAAAAAATGGGCAAAGGATTTGAGTAGATATATCTCCAAAGAACATATACAAATGGCCAATAAGCACATGAAAATAATCACTAGTCATTAGTGAAATGCAAATCAAAACCACAATGAGTTCCCAATTTGCACCCAGTAGGAATGGCTACAACCAATCAGACAATAACTAGTGTTGGTAGGAATATGGAGAAATTGGATCACTCACACATTGCTGATGGAAATGTAAAATAGCAAAATTGTTTTGAAATACAGTTTGGCAGATCCTCGAAAAGTTAAACACAGTTATATAAACTGGTAATTTCACTCCTAGGTATCTGCTATGGACTGAACGTTTGTGACCCCCAGCCCCCAAATTTATATATTGAAATCCTAACTCCCAATGTGATGTTCTTAGGAGGTGGGACCTTTGGTAATTAGGTCATGAGGGTGGAGCCCTCATGAATGGGATTAGAGACCTTGTAAAAGACATAAGAAAGCATGCTTTCTCTCTCTCTGCTCTTTGCTATGTGAGGATACAAAAAGATGGCCATTTGCAAACCAAGAAGGCCCTCACCAGAACCAAACCATGCTGGCTCCCTGGTCTCAGTGACCAGAACTGTGAGAAATTAATTTCTGTTGTTTATAATCCATCCAACCTATGGTACTTACATATAGGTTATAGTAGCCCAGACTAGACAATACCCAAGGGAAATGAAAACATATACCCATGCAAAACTTGTACTTGAATGTTCATAGCAATATTCATAATAGCCAAAAAGTAGAAACAACCCAGATATCCATCAACTGATATATGGATAAAATGTGATATATTCACACAATGGAATATTTTATTATCAGCCATAAAAAGGAATGAAGTACTGATACATGCTATGACATGGATGAATTGTGAAAACATTATGCTAAGTGAAGGAAGCCAGTCACAAAAGACCACACACCATATGATTCCACTTATATAAATATCCAGAAAAGGCAAATCCAGAGACAAAAAGCAGATTAATGAGTGGTTGCTAAGGGCTGTTGGCGGTTGGTAAATTAGAATTAACTACTAATGGGTGTGGGGATTCTTTTAGGGGGGCACAAAACATATTCTAAAATTCAATTGTGATAATGCTTGCACAACCCTGCAAAATTACACTTTAAAGGGGTGAATTATATGGTATGTGAATTATATCTCAGTAAAGCTTTTTAAAATTAGACAAATGCTAAAAGCAGGTATGTATACAAAAGTGATGGAAAAATATAAAAGATGCAAAAATGAAAAATTTTTTGATCATTTAATTGATGGTTACAGATCTAAAATGGAAATATTTCACAACTATAAAACTAAGAAGACAGCTGTCCTCTCTTCAACAAAATTATGACCTGTCAGTTTTCTATTAATTCAAGTATTGTATTTTGACAGTGCAAGTACAAGAGCCAGAAAGTAATAAGATATAACCTATCAGTGATTTGAAATCTAAAACCAGCATTTACAAAATGGATATGTTCATACATAACAGCTGATGTGTACTTAATTACATCAAAAAGACACTGCCCATGTCGGGGACATATATCAACAAAACTATTAAAATATAAAATACATTATCTATGCTTCTCATTATCCAAAACTGTAATAAAGTTCAATAATATTCATGTATTTTTTTCTTCCACATCTTTTCTGTTCAAAACGTGGCTTAGAAGCATTTTTAAAAATGGGTCCATTGGGCACAGATGGTAAATGGTGTTGACTATTTTCCCTAGTATGTTGAATATAGATATTGGCTGAGACTATTTCCTGCCTTTGGATATTTTTGACTTATATTCATATCTTGTCTCCTCTGACAACTCTTTATGATCTTGCCTTTCCCAAATTCAAGCATAATATGATTAAGATGTCTTTTACTCCTGAACTCTGGGTTTCCTTCACCTTATGGAAAAACAGATAATAGAAAAATAAAGTTTGTTTAACATTCTCCAAATTTTAATTAACCCAAAACTATTGTAAGAGCTTTTGTAAAAAACAATTGAACTTAAAAAAAAAAAAAAAAAAACTTGACAAATAAAAGAAGTTCAGCCTTCCTAGGTTAAATTATGCATAAGTAAAATTTAATAAAAATGTTTCAGTGACTATGGGTATTTCAGGTAAAAAGAAACAAACTCATGTTAACGTAAAGACTAACAAAATAACTGTCTACAAAAAGATAAATTTTATGGGATTACAGGCCTAGAGAATTGTCATTATCCACACTGTCCATAATATGTTGCACTCTTCTTAATTATCATTGATTAGATTCTTATAAATTGTATTGTACCTCAACAGTGGATTCCACTTTCCTCCATTCTACAAAAACATTGTCTCTAACATCCTCAATCATCAGCAAATAGTCTTATGGAAGAAACATCAGAAAAAAACTGCCCTCAATGAAAAATTAGATTAGCAGATACTCTTAACAACTAGCATGGCAATAAAGCTCCAAGATGATAATCCTTGGATTTATGTTTCCCTACTGATGACAGGTATCTTCTCCAGATGGCTGGACAACCACTCCTTCAGACTTTAAACCAATGATTCTTAGGAATCCTTCAGAAACCAGCATCTTTGGAGGAAGACTATTGATCAAGACTCTCAAATCAAGCAAATAACAGAAAGTAGACAGCTTCTTCCAAAGGCAACAAGCAAGATTAATTTTCTGATATCTTTTCTCCTTTTTCCTCTTTTGCCTATTATGGTTTGGCACTCCCTAGATATTGCCTAAAAATTTCTCAATATGCTCTCAGATATCTTTATCATTTTATTCTTAATTCTTCATTGTCTTTCTTGGCTGCCTTAAGAAATGCAAGACTTTTAAGCAGTTTTCTCAGACCATAGCTACTCTCTGACTCTTTCAAATTCTACTGTAAAAAATTTAATAGCTTTACGCTCTTGGGAGTCCAATTTCCTCCCACAGGTCTCTTCTATTTGAATTTCCTTCATAATTATTAACCCTAATCTTCATCCCTGTAAACTGAGTCTTTACCCCAATTCAACAAAATACTTCTGCTACAATCATTATAGGATTGTCAGCAGAACCAAGCTCCCCAAGGGAGGGGAGAAATGCTGGAGCTACTCTCACTGTATTAATTAGTTTTTACAAAGATTGTCCAGATTTCTCTGCAGGAACTATTTAATTCCACTGAGAATGCCCAGCTCAAAGAAACAACTATTGGCTCACTCTGTTGTGATAAATGATATTTATATTTCCAATATTTTTTGTAACCCAATAGGGATTACTTATGTCAACACAAGGCTTTCACCTGCCTCCTATAGGCAAACCTATTTCGTGTATACAGAATCATCGTTGAAGACTTTCAGGTATTAAAAACCTTTTCTCTCCAATGTACCATGTTTCTCTAAGAAAGGGAACCAGAGATTTCCAAAATGAGGCAGGTATAGGCTACTCAGGAAAGGTCTAAGAAGTGATAACTGACTCTCTTTATGCAAACTGTGCAAGATACTATTCCAACCGCAAAATAATACAACCAGAAAATATGGCCCACAGTTTGACTCATCTGTTCTGAAAGCCCAACAAATTTGTTTAAATTGATTACTTAGGATTGTCATAGACAATTGCATAGTGTGATTTCCTTTTAGCAAGCCACGGGGCAGTTTGTGTTTAGTTAAGACTTCCTGTTGTACCTCTATAAAAATCATTAGACAGGTGGTACAGATTTTTACTAGGTTAAATGGAGAGGCTACCTGACTCTGTACAATAGACCCAGCTGGACTTTGGGACATGTTTTATATTTGGTAATCCTGACTCTGTACAATAGACCCAGCTGGACTTTGGGACATGTTTTATATTTGGTAATCTGGGTTACTGGGTACACGTTCTAGTACAATAATAATCATTTTGCCTCTGGTAAATTGTACTGCAATTGTCTGATGCTTTCTGTCCAGAGTATTAAATGCTGTTGTGTAGCCATTATTAGGTCACCTGACTCAACATTGATCATCCATTAACAAGAAGACCTGGGGCTAATCACTACCATTGAAAACTTGACTCACAATCATTACCCCGTAAATAGCAATACAAATATGGGTTGATCACATGTTTCAATGTAAGACCACAAACTTATCTAACAGATAACTCTGCACAGGGTCATGTGTTCTAAAGACAATGACTATACTAGCAACTCCCCAGTTTCCACATTTTCACTAATATCTGCCAAGATGATCAAAAACTAACTCCAGGTCCCAAGTTCCTATATGTACCCTTCCATTGGAGATACCCCATGGTTCCTCTGGTATTCATATTCCCTTTGTGCAGCAAGCTAATAAACCTAGCTTTGATTACATGTGAGATCCTGGTGATCTCTGGCCAATGGGCTTCACCAATATGAATGAGTTAAAGGGCTCCCTTCCAACAGAGACACAAAGGATCTATCTTTATATTCTATACACAAATGCCTAGTAACATTACCAGTATTAAATAAAAGTTCATCAGTATTAATCATGGCAATTTTATTAAACAAATAAAAATGTATGAACCTGTAGATATAAAAACTGATAGCCAACCTGTGTTTACTGAAAAAAACTTGTAATCTTAATACTCTCTGAAAATAATTTTTCCATATCTAAAAATGTACACTTAGTATGTTTTTCAAAAGTCCTCCAAATTTTGAGATAGTTGATTTAAAGTTAACTACTCTAGCAAACCACTGTAAAAATAAATGAAAGATTACACATGGCAATTGGCATACTACTATAGTGAATACGCTTTATTTTTAAGTAAAAAATGAATGATATCCAAAACAAAATTTTTGCCTCTGAATAGAAGTTTTAGCTTAAAGGGGAAAAAGTCATCAATGATGAACATATTTCCATTTTTCAATGTTTTTAAGTTTTTATAAAGATTTTAATTAAGCTGCAAATCACTAAGCAGTTTTTAAACTTAGGCTTCATGATCATTTGACTTTATGCTTTTAAATAGAGTCATTTATCTTCAAAACATGACAAATTTCAGAATCCATTAAAAATTATTTTATTCAAATTATGTTTTCCAAAAGAGAGGGTTCTGTGCTAGCCGTCTTTGAAAGTTTTCATACCTAGAAAAGAAAAAACATGTTTATATTTACAAGAAAATGAAATTGGATCATTTATAATCTGCCAAATGATTTATCAAAAACAATCTTACATGTCATTTCTAAAAAGCTAAAATAAAAAAGCTAAAATGCTAATCTGGAAATTTAATCATTCTTCTAAAAAGATGGCAAATCTAGTGATTTAAGGATGAGAGCAGTTTTGATTAGCTTTTATCAGAGAGCACATATCATAATAAATTTTAGTAATTGTCTATCCTCTGCAAATTTAAGAGTTAGAAGGGACCTAAGAAAAAAATCAAATCAAACCCTCCTCCTTCATTTCAGATGAGCAGATGAGAGTAATTTGCTCAAGGTCACATAGCTTCATTGTGACAAAGCTCAAACCTAACACATTCCAGTGCTCTCCATGGTACACCATGGTATCACTTCTCAACAAAATCTTCCTTATACATCCCCCACCACTAGAATATTCAAAGTGAAAAGAAATACCTATAAAACAAACACAGGAAGTTGGAGAAATAGATTAGTCATTCATGTTCAGGGTGCAGTATAAACCATCCTGACACCTATACATATTTACTTTAGATCAAGACTTTATAAATTTAAGAAAAAAAGTTTTGGTTGATATTTCAGGTCGCATATATGGTGCTTCTAATCCAAAATATACAAAAATCTACAGTCCTTAATAGCGGTCCCTAAAACACAGGCAATTATATTTTCCTGTCTTCATAAATTCATAATGGCTGCTATATAACAGAATGATTAGGGTAAGGACCATTCCTGACCCTGAACTCTACAATATACACTTCAATGGTATACAAATATTAATGTAAGCTGATGTCCACAATAAAAGAATATGTTTAAATGTCAGAGAAGGAATATATTCACAGGCAAAATATATATGAGTATACAGTTACTAAAAGCCTTAATATTAGAGATAGAAAATTCCTCATACCATTTCAGAACCACATTTGCCGGGATGAACATTTCAGATGGACTTGGTGTCATCTGGGCCTGAGAGACAGCAAATGATGAAGCAAAATTGTAGAAGTTGTCCAACATCTTTTGTGTGAACTGAAAAGTTAATAATTAAGAGATTAATGGGTTATACTAAATACTCCGTTTAGACCTCAAAAATTTTAATTAAAAATATTCCCACATAAACTAGGTTTTAAGGACTGTAAATTCTAAGACAGTCTAATGCTAAAAGTTAAGGGTAGTCATAAAATGACATTGTGGCATATGTCATTCTTCTGGAGGAAAAAAAATTTTCCTTCAAAATATTTTCTTTCATCTCCATGTCTACAACCACTATGCCCCCCTCTTCAAATGCCACTCTCCTCAAATTATCCTATTTTCTCATATAAAATAGTACCCATCTCTAAGAAGTCTTTTTCTTGCCAGAAAGATAAGAGCTTAAATATAATAAAGGAGCGACTGGTTACTTCCCATCATTGTAAAGAAGATAAAGGTAGCTCTATTCCATTTCTTCTATTTCCTAACCTGTTTCTTTTCATTGACCCTAAAATGACCCCCAAATTTACCAACATCCTCCAAGTCTGCTTGGTAGAAGTTAGAAGTAAACTGATTCATATTTTCTGAGAATCAAATGGGTTTAAGCACTAAACCTAAAAGTAAATGAACTGCTGAAGATAACACTACCTTCTACTCACTCAAAAACAATCTTCCTAGCATCACTTTCTCAAAAGTACAAAACCAGCCATAAAGGCTCCTGCTGTCTCTTCTCTACACAAGAGGAATTGCCTTATTATGTTATTTTTATTTGTTTGTTTAATAATATGAAGGTGACATAATCCTAGAGATTCTACTGTTAAGGTACCTGAATTAATATGAGAATTCAGTAAGGTCACTAACTAAAAGATTAATATCAGAAAAAAATCAACAGCAGTCTTCTACACCAGCAACAAAAATATTTAAATGTAACTTTAAAAAAATTTAATTCAGGGGCCAGCCCAGTGGCGCACTCGGTAGAGTGCGGCACTTGGGAGTGTGGTGGCGCTCCCGCCGAGGGTTCGGATCCCATATAGATACCGGTCCGCTCACTGGTTGAGCGCGGTGCGGGTGCGACACCGAGGGTTGCGATCCCGTTACCGGTCACGAAAAAAGACAAAAAGGAAAAAAAAAATTTAATTCAGAATATAAACAAAGTCTTTTGAATACCTAGAAAAAATGCTAAGACGAGCTGATAAGAGTTTTGCGGAAAATATTTTAAGACTATACTGAGAGAGAGGAAATAAATCAGAAGGACCTATATACCATGGTCAACGGAAAGATATACCATGTCATGGATAGGAAGACTTAATGTGCTAAAGGTAATCGATTCTCCCCTAATTAAAACTATAACTACAATGCTATTTCCAACAAAATTCCAACAAGACTTTCCATGGAACTTGACAAGCTGATACTATTTCATGGAACTCAACAAGCTGATAAAATTATGAAGAACACCTAAGCCTATTTTGATGAGTAGGAGGAGGAACCTGGCCTATCAGATACTAAGACTTACTGGCAAAGGCACAGGCAGATAAACTAACTGGAACAAAAGAGAGAGCCCATAAACAAACCTAAGCATATGTGACAACATAATATATACCAAAGATGCCATTAGTCAGGGGAAAAAAGGGACTAAGTACTCAATTAAAGGGGCTAGGACTAGTTTTCCATAAGCGGAAAAAATGAATTTAAATCCTTTCCCATACCACATACAAGTGTAATTCAAAAAGTAAAATCTTAAGGCTTTAAAAACTATAAAAGAATATTTTTACATATCAGGGTAGGAAGGAATTTCTCAAATATTAAAAAAAGAAAAAAATCCACAAATCACAAGGAAACAACTAACAAACTCATCTACATAAGAATATAGTCAGCAGTCGGTATCCATGTGGCACTGGTTCCAGAACCCCCATGGATACCAAAATTTGAGGACCCTTAAGTCCCTGATATAAAATGGAGTAGTATTTGCATGTAACCTATGCACATCTTCCCATACACATTAAATCATCTCTAGATTACTTATAATACCTGATATAACATTAATGCTATGTAAATACCTGTTATACTATGTTATTTAGGGAATAATGACAAGGAAAAAATAATAACAGATGCAACCATCATAGGCCTTAACTACATTTCCAATCCTCAGTTGGTTGAATGAATCACTGTGGATGTAGAACCCTCAGATACAAAGGGCCACCTGTATGTCTGTATGCAAGAAACCATAAACAATATTAGAAGACAAGCAATATGCCAGGAGAAAACTGCAATGCATATAACTAAGGATCATTATCCAGAACACATAAAAGCCTCTTTCAAAAAACTAAAATTAAAAAAATGCCAAAAGCAAAACAATAGAAAATTGGACAAAATATATAGTCAATTCCTGTAAAAGGAAATATAAATGCAGTCCAAAATGTGAAAAGATGTTCAGTATCACTAGTAATCAAGAAACACAAAGTAAATATGACATTCTAATTTTCACCCATCAGTTTGGCAAAATTTTGAGGTCTGATAAATATTACTGAGAATGTGTAAATATCTATCAACATGGAAATGAAAAAACAAACTGTGGCTCATTCATAAAATGGCATACTATACAGCAATTAAAACAAACTAGATCTATTCCACACATCAATATAGATAAACCTAAAAAATAATGTTGAGTGAACAGCAGCAAGTTGTACAGCATGATATCATTTATGTTCATGTTTAAAACATACAAAAGAGTAAATCAACAAGAGGGAAAAACAGAAGGACCAGAAAAGGGGTTCAACACAGAACAGAAATAAAAGGAATTTCTGTAGTAATGGTGAGAGAAAATAATACATTGACCACAGTTATGCAACAGGTCCAGAAGACCAGTAGACAGTAAAAAAAAAAAAAAAAAAACCTCTCTCCTCCCTCTCCCCGCTTGGTTAAATATACTGAATGAGAATTTACACTTAGCAGAGTTTGGGCATAAATTAGAAATGAAAACACAGAAATCTATGCAAAGGAAAAATATAAAGCATTTATAAATCAGGAAAAATGAAAAGTTAGGTAAGAAAAAAATGTAATCATTGTATTACACATGGCTCAGTTCCTTTTTTTTTTTTTTTGTTAAATTTTTATTTTGTCAATATACAACGTATTAGATTATTATGGGCTATCACCGACACCTGCCTCCCTCCTCCCTCTCTCCCCTCCCAACCAAGAATGTCCTTTCCATTTGCTTGTTGTAACATAGTTTTTTTGTAGAGGCTTTAGGCTGTCCAATATATAGGATCATGTCATCTGCAAACAGGGACAGTTTGACTTCATCTTTTC